CAGGCATTTATTCCCAGAAACATAGGCTCACACACACACTAGAAAGATACAGTAAGCGACAGCTTCAGGAGTAACAGGGAGCCCATTGAGTCTGATCAGGTAATAAATGAGCAAATAGGTCTCAAGTAACAGCATGGATTTGTCAAGAACAAATCATGTGAAACCAGAAGATTTCTTTGACAGCATAACAAACCTTGTGGTACATGTTTATTCCCAGAAACATAGGCTCACACACACACTAGAAAGATACAGTAAGCGACAGCTTCAGGAGTAACAGGGAGCCCATTGAGTCTGATCAGGTAATAAATGAGCAAATAGGTCTCAAGTAACAGCATGGATTTGTCAAGAACAAATCATGTGAAACCAGAAGATTTCTTTGACAGCATAACAAACCTTGTGGTACATGTGGTCTATCTTGACTTTAGTGAGGCTTGTGATACTATTTCACATGACTGTCTCAAACAAACTAGGGAAATACAACCTAGGTGGGGCTATTAACAGGCAGGTGCGTAACTGGTTGGAAAACTGTTCCCAAAGAGTAGTTATTAGCCGGTCACAGTCAAGCTGGAAGGACATATCAAGTAGGGTCCCATGGGCATTAGATCTGGTTCCAGTTCTGTCCAATATCTTCATCAATGAGTTAGATAATGGCAGAGAGTATTAAGTTTGCGGACGATACCACACTGGAAAGAGTTGCAAGTGCACTGGAAGACAGCACTGAAACTCAAAATGATCTGGACAAACAAATAGAATGAAATTCAATACGGACAAATCCAAAGTACTCCACTTTGGAAGGAATAATCAGTTTGCATGCATACAAAATGGGACAGGACTGTCTAGGAAGGGATTTAGGGGTCATAATGGATCCCAAGTTAAATAGGAGTCAACAGTGTAACACTGCTGCAAAAAAACAAACTTCATTCTGGAATGTATTAACAGGAGTGTTGTGAGCAAGACACAAGTAGTCAGGGGCGGATATACGGCAGGGAGAACGGGGTGGCCGCCCCGTGCCCCGCGCTTCAGAAAGCCCCGCGCATGCGCCGTGGCAAAGGGGGGGCCCCGCAGAATTATGCTGCCCCGGGCCCCGCAAAACGGTCATCTGGCCCTGCAAGTAGTAATTCCTCAGCTCTACTCCATGCTGATTAGGCCTCAACTGGAGTATTGTGCTCAGTTCTGGGTGCCACATTTTAGAAACTGGAGAAAGTCCTTAGAAAAGCAACAAAAATGATTAAAGGTCTAGAAAACATGACTTATGAAGGAAGATTAAAATAGTTGGGTTTGTTTAGTCTGAAGGAGAGAAGACAAAGTGGACATAACATTTGTCAGGTACATAAAGGATGTTATAAGGATGAGGGAGATACGTTGTTCTCTAACTTCTGAGGATAGGACAAGAAGCAATGGGCTTAAACAGAAGGAAGAGGGGTTTAGGTTGGACGTTAGGAAAAACGTCCTAATTGTCAGGGTGGCTAAGCACTGGATTAAATTGCCTAGGGAGGTTGTTTCCATCACTGGAGATTTTTAAGTGCAGCTTAGCCAAACACCTGTCAGAGATGGTCTAAATCAGTGTTTCTCAACCTTTTTTTTGCTCATGGCCCCCTTCGGAGCCTCGTTTACCTCTGTGGCCCCCCTCATAGCCGCTGTTAGTTGGAAAAAAAGGTACATAATTTACCTAATGTTCCGTTTTTTCCCGGTAAGGCGTGGCCCCTGGGGAGCCAAATGGTCCACGGTTGAGAACCACTGGTCTAAATAATACTTAGTCCTGCCTTGAGTGCAGGGGACTGGACTAAATGACCTCTTGAGGTCCCTTCCAGCCCTACAGTTCTATGATAGTTCAGTCCAGGCTGTTCTTTGGGGCAGTTCAAAGATGGGGCCCACTTGGAGAGAAAGCTGTGCCTGGAGTTTGTGCCGACAATGAATTACACTCGCACATGCCTGTACCTAAATATCTCTCAACCAACCACATTAGGGCTGAAAAACGGAAGGTAGAGGTTAGATAATGTGCCGAAGGCTAGCAGAGGAACCCGAGAAAGAAGCGGGATTAGAACCCAGGAGCTGTTGGCTCATCGCATTCTCAGATCACACCGTGCGTGATTTTACTGTCCTTCTAACCACCCCTCCCCACTCTTCCTAGTCTAACGGCAGGGCATTTCTTTATGAGAGCCTGAGATGGATCTTGGGTCATTCATGAGCCAGGCAGGGATCAAGGCCTACACTGCTCCTTGCTCATCTGCAGCTGGGACTATCTGCAATGCCTTTAGTCATCAAAGCAGAGACCAGCTTCTTTGGGTCTACCTCCTGGTCCTGTGCAGCTGCTAGTAAAGGGACCAGGGCACTTACCTCCAACTCATAGGCATCCTTGCCCTGCGTGAGAGGTGAGCCAGCACCCTCTCCCCCGCCCTCCCCAGTCCGTAACCGTGTGATCTCCACAGCTAGGCGGTTATTCAGCTCCTGGAAAGAAGAAAGAGTCACTTTGTAAGCAGAAGAGTTATAGGATTATTCCTATCAAATGCTGTCATTGGTTGTTTTGTCTTCAGTTGCCTTGCAAGGCTCCCTCTGTGGGACTCCCCATGCATTCAGCCCCATTTGAACTATGCAGCATGGCATAGGGGGACAGCTAGAGGAATGCAGACACTGTCAGGTCCTGGGGACCAATCTGGGACAGCTCCCTGCCTTGGGGCTGTTTTGGTGCTAGCTTACTTTTAACATCACTTTAATGTTATTACTTAGGCTCAGGACAGCAGAGCAGACACAGCTCTTCCCCCAGAAGAAGCCATGCCCTCCTCCAAAAATCCCATTGAAAGCAGTGACCAGGCGAGGAGCTCTAGGGCAGCTGCTGCCTCACCTGATTGTGTGCGTTGAGCTCCTGGTTCTCTCGCTGGCACTGGCGGAGGGCCTGCCTCTCAGCCTCCAGGGCCTGGGCCAAGTGAGCGTTCTCCAAGCACTTCTGGGAGTACTGCTCTGAAAGGACTTCCAGTTCCCGCTGGACCGACTGCAGCTCCTCCCTGCAGCGGGGCAAAACCAAGAGGCAGATAGGCTGGGGCCATGTCCACAGCTTTCCAGCGATGAAGCCCACAGCCCAAGGATACCAGGACATCTGCCTGGAAGGTGAGGGAGACTCTCTGCTTTTGAAAGACTCTCAAGTCCAGGTGGCCAGCTAACATCCTCCTTTCCTGAAACCCCTTCCTATCCACCTCTGGCACCCACAGTTTAGGCACGTCCTTTGATCACTTAAAAATGATTCTTTAGGCTGAAAGCTACCATGCTTGTTCTCAGCTCAGAGGGAAAGACTATGCGCAGGTGGACCGGGCTGAGCACAGATATATGTGGGATAAAGCAACTCAGCTCTTCATCCAACTATATGTGAGATAAAGCAACTCAGCTCTTCATCCAACTCCTGTATTAACACAGATCTGGTCCTCACCAAAGGCTTGTGCTTTTGCATTGTGCAAACAGATTTGACTGAGCAATAACAAAGTTCCAGCAGGGTGGAAAACACCTCCATGCATCCACATGCTAGGTTAACTGTAACAAAGGGAATAATGCAGATACGGGTATCACTTAAAGATTTCTGGGAACCTACAACAGGGATGGCAGGGGACTGCAGGCCAGGACTGAGGGACACTGGCAGAGCACAGGTTAAGAAGGAGGGGCACTGAAAGGAGCTTCCACATCACCTTCTAGAACAGTCTGACTCTGTCCCAGTGTCTCACTTCCAAGAGGAGTAAAAACGGGTCTGGTGTGTCAAGCTGTGTAGAGCGTTAGCAGCACATAGTCGGGGGGGGAGGGGGGAAGAGGAGGATGGGGGAGAGAAAAACCTACAAGTACTGCTTCCTGAGGGCCTCAATGTCCGAGTTGTCACTGCTGATCTGGGAGCGCTGGGTTTTCTCCAGCTCCCTCTCCAGCTCCTCACGGTGAGCGTTTTTCATGGCTTCGATGGCTACACAGGACAGGAAGAGGATTAATGCTCTGCAGGAGGCAGTGCATTTACAACTAGCCCCCCCCCCCCAAATGTGAATCACTTTGGTGAGTCATTTCCCTATTTCACAATCATTTTATTACATGGCACTGGCCATAAAGCAGCGAAAGGGCTTCTGCAAATCTTACTTTTTAATAAAGTTCAACAATTGCCTGATTCACAGTTTATTCCCTGAGTTATGGGACTCTGAATGCACAAGGCCTGTGTTCGGGCATTTTAAATGCTCATAAGCACGAAAGAACGAAGTCACTGTGGAATGGGTAATAAATTAGCCCCAGCAATAAGTAATGTCTCCCTCAGAAGGAACAGAAAACTGACTGGGCTACATCACTGCTAAGGGGAGGAACATCAGAACAAGAGATAGAGCGGGGCTTAGGGGGCGATTGATGGAGAGCCATCAGCCCTTGCCCCATATCTAACCATGCCCCAGAGCCAGTACACACTCCCCCGATTATATTCCAGGGTCCTTGTTCCTTTCACCCACCCTGGTCTCCCACCACCAGACTAGAGACCAGCTCCAGTGCTCTGGACTGATCATGCAGCACATTGTCCACCCTGTCTTGTCCTGAGTGTTCCATCCATCCCATCATTTCCTCATGCACACAGATGAAGGATCCTTCCCTCACCCCCCATCATCACACATCAGTAGAGCAGCTACTTTGCTGGCCTCTTACCGGAGATGGTAGCGGCTGTTTCTTCTGCTAGCAGGCGATCTTTCTCCTCCCGCAGTTTCTCCAGTTCCCGTTGGTGTTGCCTCTGCAGATCCTCAATCTTCTTCTGATGTGTCTCTTCCATGGCTGCAAACCCTCGTTCACATGTCGCCTGAAAACGGAAGAGAACGAGCTGAAATTTACCTTCCTAGCAGAAGGTCTGGAGCGAGGGCCTTTCAGGCAAGGAGCCTGTAGCGAACACAAACACACACAGAGCCCCAAATGCGGGGAAGAAGAACACAGTGCACATCAGCAAACAGATGGAGAGACAGACAATGAAGGAGTAAGCACATAGAAGGGCCCAGCCCTGCCCTAGCCAGAGGGCAGACTGGCAGATGTAGGGGTTCCTCCCCAGCTCTAATACTACTGGGAAAGGAGTGCCCAACAGCTGGCTGAGGGGAGGGAGGGGAAGGGAGTTTTATTTTTAAAATGCTCTAGGGCCTGAACCAACACCCACTGGAGTGAACGCACAGACCAGCATGAACATCAGCAGGGTTGGCATCAGGCCCTAACTGAGTGAAGGAAAATGTATTAACACAGTTGCATCCCAACCATCTCTTTGCTAGCTTCCTATCTTCTGCTGTATCTACTTCCAGAGCCTTGCTCTCCCCATCTCCCCCATCTGGGCAGGAGTTCATGCCCTCCTTGCCCCCACCAAGCTTCCCACTCTCCCCTCAGGCCCCTTCGCTTCCTTTGTGCGCTTGCTGCTCTCTGCGCTCAGGACAGCTTCACGCACCCAGGAATCATTCTCATGTTCTCCCATCCCAAACTTCTCTGTAAAGGAGTGGCATGTGGTGGTAAGTGCCAGGATGTTCTGCAGGCCAAGACTCGGATGCACCAACAGGCATGTGTAGGGGCTGAGGGTTGGAGAACCACTTGATATGCTGGGGAGGCATCAGAAGAACCATGTGTGAGGTCTCTGAAGTCATGAGCGTAGAGCCCGTTTAAGCTGCAGCTACAGTGCTCTATTTGGGTGAGGAAGGTTACCGGCAAGTTTGCAGAGGATGGAGCTGTCCTGTAACAGGCTCTCACCAGACTATCAAGGTTACCGGCGAGTTTGTAGAGGATGGAGCTGTCCTGTAACAGGCTCTCACCAGACTATCACTTCCTCATTTTGAAAAGCAATTAATTTTGTGCTTTCCAGTCTCTCTTCAAAGCCCGAATCTCCAGTGCAGGCTACAGAAGTTGCAATTTAGGGTTGCAACTACCACTGAAATGGTAGTTTTTATCCTGAGGCATTTTTCATTTTCTCTGCCTTGTTCCTTGCTAATAACTCAGTGCCATAATCTATCTGGACTTGGCTGACTGAGTATCAAGGTGAGGCAGCCTTGCTTTGATAACATTCTTATCTTCAGTCATAACACAGGGAGGAAAATTGCAAAGTACTTCTCAACATTGAGTTGTAGGTACAGTATTTATTCTATTGCAAATGCATTGCTGTAAATGCACAAGTCTGCACCCAAGAATACCCAACAGTATGCTCAAGCCTATATATGTATTAGTGAGATTTATAAAGCTCTCCAGTGTGCTAAGGAGAATCTCTCTCTCTCTCTCTAAGTGCCTCAGTTAGCTTTCTAGTAACCAAGATTAACATTTTATTTTTGTTTCTGTCCCCTGAATATCTCTGCCCTTCCTCAAGACAGTTCTGCCAAAGGTTACTGCTCTATTGTTTTTCCATCTGGCAAACTTCAGGTTTCCAGCAGTCTCCACCAGGGAGTCAGTTTGAAAATCGCTGAGGCAGTAAGGTCTAATGGCAGTTCGAGTTTGGAAGCAGTGAAAAGGCTACTGTGGGATGCATAACAGAAATAATTGTTTGTGAAGCAAGAACGCTCCTCCCTGGCCCTATTTGGAAAACGGCATGTTGCCCGAAACGCTGATTTCAAGGTCTTTTTAGCTGGAGTTTGGTACAGTCTGTGGAAGTAATGGCAACAGATACCCACACTTGTGCATTTCAGAAATGCTGTTCCTGTCCTTAACACTCTGAGCTATCCAGACTCCTTGCCAAATGATGGGTTTGCTTTTCAGGAGAAGGCAGAGAGGCTAGGGCAGACTACCTTTCTTTCCAGGCTAAAAAATCCACGTATCCAGAAGCTGGCATAAACCCTAGCCCCCATCTCATGCTTCCAACCCTTCCAGATTGCACTGTGCTCTAATGCTGCTGCTGGACTCCGGCACGCTCCTTACTTTCAAATCTCTTTGCTGACTCGGAGGGATTACTGCTCCCTTGCAAGCGCCTCTGGCTTGCTTCTGCCCATGAACCTGGGACCTTGCTCCATATTTCCAAGCTCCATATTCAACCTGGAAATTAGCTGGAGCACTGTTTGCAAGTTCATATTTCACTGCTACAGAATGAGCTCCCAGCTGGAAATGGTCTCAAGTTCAAAAATCAACAGTCTTTAGAAGCTGTAATGCAGGGTTCTGCTTTTCTAGCCAGCCCTGAATGATGGAGCATTCAGTGTAAAGGCATTTTGTAGCCATTGCTCCTTTTCCTTCAGACTTTGTTTCTGTACCTACTTCTGGGCTCCAACAACTGTGCACTGTTTGTTATGTAAAAAGCTGCTGGAAAAAAACAGCAACATTGGATTTCCCTGTTAGCCACATAAAGCCAAGATTAGTATTCATTTTTTGTCTCTAGAACTTGTCCTCTCTTACCCAGCCAGATTCCCCCCTCTTCCCACAAATCTGTGTTTTGAGAGCATACATGTACATTCCTCATTAGGGCTCTGAAGGCAATGGCGCTGGATGGGGACTTTGATCAGAATGGAAGAGACAACTCTGAAGTTGCTTTTCCCGGAACACATGAATCAGGCACGAGGGGAAGACTCTGCAATGTTCATGTTTGAGGTGGCTTGCTTACAGAGTGACATTATTACAGCCATTTTGGAGCCGGATTCCCACCACTAAATCACTAGCAGTCTGTGCCACTGTTTCCAATCAAATAATTCTCTCTCATTGTGCTCAAGTTGTTGGTTTTTTTTTTTTTAAACAGCTAGGTACAAGGGAGTGGATGCCCTAAGTAATATATCTAGAATGCATCCCTGCACAGAGAAGGGAAGCATGGAGAAAACGAATGTGCACAGAGAGAGATTTTACAGGTCATTTTAATTGGTTTAGTTTCTCTTAACTATCCTAGGTCTTATAGGCATTGTTGTTCCTTAGTCCCTGCAGGAGGAACCATATGTCCTACAAGGGCTTTCCAACAAACTGGAACATTGCATTGATAGGAAGGAAGGGTTATTGGGTAAAATTAAACATATTCAAAACCTTCAGGTTCTCAAAGTCTTTCTGGTATTTTTCCCTCAGTGCTGAAGCATTCCCCTCCACGTGCTTGTTCTCCAACTCATCTCTCATGGCATTCATCTGGGCCTCCAGCTCTTGAATGCGCTCTCTCAAACCGTGCATGGAATTTAACTCATTCTCAGAGATCTGCATCCTGCCCTCGGGCTGATCTGTTGCCCACACTTTCTGGTCACTGGTTTCAGGCCCTTCGGAAGGCAAGGCTTCTGGGTGCTGCCTCTGGTAATTGTCTAGTGTTTCTTGTAAGCGCTGCAAGTTCTGGTTGTAATGCTCCTGCAAAGTATGCAGTTCCTCGTTGTGGATGATTTGCAGTTCCTTTATCTTGGCCTGGAACTTGTCCTCCAACATTTGCATTTGCTCAAAGTGATATCGCTCCATGTTTTGCTTATCTCGTACGATGGCATCAAGTTGATTTAGGCCCTCTGTCCTCTCTGCCTTCAGAGTGTCCTCTGTCCTATTCAACTGTTCAATCACATTGTGCATCTCCTCCTCATATCGGCCTTGTAACTCACACAAGTTTTTGCTGTGTTTGTGCTCTTCTTCCTCCAAGAGCCTTCGCTGATTGTCCAGCTGAGACACTTTTGCCTTAAGGTCTATGTTCTCCCTTTCAATGATAGCTATCATCTCGGCATATTCACTCTGCTGCTTTCGAAGCAAGTCTTCATATTCCTCACGAAGGGCGGACACGGTCTTTACACGCTCTTGACACAGAGCATCCATGTCTTGCAAGGATTCTTTGTAAAACTTTAGCTCCCTTTCATACTCAATTCTAACTTTGCAAGCCCCATAACAAACCTGAGCCTGGATAATTGCATCTTGAACTAACAATGATGAATAGCGCTCAAGACCTTCCATGCACATATGATATGAAAGACTCTGAGCAATTTTTAGGAGCTTTTGGCAATCTTGTATGGCTTCCTCAGGGGATAAGGATAGTAAGGCAACAGATATTTCTTTAAGAACATTTGCTTTTTCTTTTAGTTGTTGGGCAAGGTCTTCTTGAATAGTAACAAGAGCTTCACTACTATGGTCTGGCAAACCACGGCCCTCCATCGTCTTGGCTGAATCTTGACATGGTATCACCTTGAGGTGGCTCCTATCCCAAGAGGTTTGGGTTCTTTCTGAAGCATCTTTTTGAATTTCCAGTGCTTCTGAAATTTGATGCATAACCCTATCAAATTCAGAAGTCCTGTATGCTTTGATGATTTCCTCCAACATGCATTTATGTTGCTGGAGAGCTGTTTTGGTATTGTGGAGGTCTTCTTCAATTGTTTTTAACCTCTGATGAAAAGAATCTCTCATTGTCTGTGCAACAAAACCAAGTTCTGCCCTGATCAATGTCGCATCTGCTACTGTGTGGACAAGGCTTTGGGGAAAACTAAGGCTAACAGCTTCTGTTTTGCCTCCTTCCTCTTCTCTGGTGCCCAAGTGTTTTCTCAGTTCCTCCACCTGGCTCCAAAATTCCCCTTCCAGAAGCAGCTTCTTAGATAAGATGTTGGCCAAGGCAATTGCTGTATGTGGAACATTTGCTGGCTCTAAAAAAACCACCTCAGCTGTCCCATGAATCTCTCTGAGAATCTGGGAAATCTCTGAACTTGCATTTTTCAGAGATTCTGCTATTTGGTTGATCAGGGAGGCTTCAAATGCTATCCTCTCAGAAAGCAGTCTTAACTGGTCACCATCAGACATTTCAACTGGCTGCTGCTGGGAAGTGAATTTCTCTTCTTCCAGCAAACTCCCTTCTGCAGGTGGCGTTTGAGCCATGCAGCTTTCGTTCTGCTGATAATCAGAGGAGATGGGCGTCCCTTGTAAGAC